GATAGCTGCGCTAAGTAGCGTCGTAAGCGCGAGTCATCTCAGCTTGGCGTAACAATTTCCGTTGCATTCGTACGGATTTACACCCATGTCGCGCCTAAAGAAATTTACTTCAAAAATGTAAGTGCTTTTGCAAGGGAACTAATGATTCTTTTATCTTATCCAGTTAAGCAGATTGAGCCAAATCGTCCGTCCTTCAAGTCAGCAGGATCAGCTCCTGGTATTTCACCAGCAGTTGCATACAAAGGCAACGAGCAACTCGAGATGTTCAGCAAACTTCTTGGTAAACGCCAGGCCAAAAAGTTTATAGACTTGGAAAAAATAAAATTTTGGCACGTGGTCACTTGGCACCTGATGGAGACTTTTCTTTGGTGCCTCACCAATTTGCAACATATTTCTACATCAACGTTTGCCCACAATGGCAAGTCGTCAACGCCGGCAACTGGTTGAAAGTCGAAACAATGGTAAGTTGATTAGTTTTTACTAATATTGTACTCCCTCTAAAACAACTGAAATTCACTTGTTCTTATTATCCTCTGATTCTGAACTAAAATTTATTTATTCCTTTTAATTTCCAGCAGATTTGCAGATTAAATGATATAAACACAAACTCAGTCTATCACTACGCAACTCAGTAAGCTAATTTTTCAAAACTTGTTTTAAGCATTACTAAACTGTAAACTATTGCACAAACACTTGCACAATTAAATATTAAAGTTGCTAGGTTTTTAATTGGTTTGTCGGTTTTCAAAAACCGGTTTTTTGGCAAAACTTATGGAATTCAAAAACCGGTTTTTAGTGAAAAAAGTCGGTTTTCACTGTATAAATGAAAAATGACAAATATAGCCAAATATAAAAGATAGATGAAAGCGTTTTGATTCTTGAAATCATATCGGTCCAATAGCATTTGATATCTTATCAATCTGCAATGGTTCCCAGAAAAGTTTTGTATATGTTAATTTAGATTTTTATACCAGTGTATATATTACTTTAAATCATTGTGACTTCTTTTTGAAGAAGTAACTTCCTCTACTCAAACTTAAAAAACCCTAGAAGCCACAAATTAAAGAATAAAAAATTTAAAATTATTATATCAGGCTTATATCAGATTTTAAATACTTTAAAAAATTATGAATATTTTATTTGGTTTTCATACGATTCGGTTAACATCCCAGCCATCATTTAATAGAAAATAAAGTTTTAAATTTTTTTATAATATTGAAAATTTGTTGATAACTAGTTTGGTTAAAAAAATCGTTTTTCATTGAATCTTAATTTTTTTTAATTATTGTTTTTCACGTTTCGGCTAACATCCTAGCCATCATTCAATTAAAAATTAAGTTTAATAAATCTGTATAATATAGTAAATTTGTTGGTAACTATTTTCTTTAAAACATTAATATTCTGTCATGTCTCTTTTTTTAAAATATGAATGTTTTATGCGATTTCCATACGTTTTGACTAACATCCCAGCCATCACTAAATGAAAAAAATAAAGTTTGATAATCATTTATATTATAGTGAATTTGTTGGCAACTATTTTGGTTAAAAAATTCTGTCAGGTCTCATTTTTTTTCAAATTATGAATGTTTTATGTGATTTCCATACGTTTCGGCTAACATCCCAGCCACCATTTAATGAAAAATAGTTTTATTTTCTTCTATATTATTGTAAATTTGTTGACAACTGTTCTGGTTAAAATATTGCTTTTTTTCATAAATATCTTTCAATATCATCCATTCGTTTCGGCTAACATCCTAGTCATCATTCAATATAAAATAAAATTTTAAATCTTTCCATATTATAGTAAATTTGGTTAAAAATAAATTTTCTGTTAGACCTCAAAAATTAATTTTTTGTCAGGTCTCCTTTTCAAAATTATGAATATTTTATTTATAAAACCGACTTTTTTCACTAAAAAACCGGTTTTCAAATTCCATAATTTTCGCCAAAAAACCGGTTTTTGAAACCGTTTTTTTTTAAATCCTATTTTATTAAACAAAAAACAATTAGAATGTTTAGAATTAATTAAAATTGCTCGGAACAGGCAAAATACTCGAGTTTAGCTCAATTGTTTTTAAAACTAAAATTGATATTAACAAGTATGTATGAACATCTATTTTTTTTTTAATTTAATGAATTTTTTTTTATTTAAAAATGTATTATTTTTATTTATTCGACAACTTTCCTTTTACTATCATAAAAATATTTTCATTCTTATATGTGAAAATGATGCATGAATAACGAATAATTATTTTCAAAATTATTTAATCAAAATAAACTATTAATTTTTTAGTTCTACTAATTAAAATTAAAAAAATTTTGTTTACTATCTATAAAATTGAACAATAAATAAATTCAGTCAACTGCTCTAAATTACACTAAATTTGCGGATAAATTACAGAATATTCGAGCAAAAATTTATTTTCTATATAAAATTCTAAACTCGGTAAAAACCGGTTTTTTTAGTAAAATTGAAATACGAAAAC